TGTATGTAGCTTTTTTTGTACGTGCATCTGGAAACCACTTACGAAAAAAAACATAATTTGAAACCTACAAAGTTCTAAAAGACAAAATACCTAGGTTTTTGAACTGTGCCTTTATTTTTATCCATTTATTTTGCATTAAATTCAAATTTAATCTTTGCAAGAATCTCTAATAAAATATCCTCTAGTTTGTTATTTAAAAAAGTCAATGTTGTAGAAACAAGCAACTGAAGGTTAACGAAAAATGTGCTTTGTGTCTTCAACGGTATAACTAACTACCTACCTCCCATTTTTAATGAAGTTTGATTTCAAAGGTAAAATCCTGTCTTTCACATTTTCTTCGAAGTACATTTGCTGCCAAGCGAGGGGGCTAGTCTCAGTCGTATAATTCTTACAGCTCGTATGTCAATCCACAATCTTGTTAGTTTATTTTGAATGACGGTCAGAGAGTGTGACCGACGGTGGTGACAGAAGTGTTTGAAGTTGTTTATGTACGTACGAGTCTACTGGCACGTGCATGCATCCAGCCGACAAGCCCCAACCAAGCATGGAACGTCATGGGACACTTGAGCTGATCATAGGCCAATATGGATCGCATATGCCGATCAGCGCACTGATCACGTTTAACTGTTTTTCAATCAAGTTCATTTTTCGAGAAAGAATACAGTTGACAATGCGTTTCTACTCAACTGGAACCGGCAATTAACACGATCCATAAATGTGTGGTCATCCAAAAATAGTATTCGAGAGTGTACTTTTAATTTATTTCGTTGATTTGGCCAGTGGGACACTTGTTTGTCTGCTATACACTGGCCGACAAAAATCCAGCTACCCTAAAAAAATTACTATTGCATGTTTTTTGTGATTCATACTTCTAATCTTTTTCAGCTGAAACAAGAAAAGTTAATGCATTTTAATGCACAAGTTACTATAAACCTGTTCGCTCGTGAGCTTCTATATTATTTTCGTAGTGTCCACTTTATTTTTGCATTGGCACAGTTTGTCCCTTGGTAAAAATAGGCGCGTATACATGTCGTGGTAAATTAAGGTGGGTTGAATGTATGGATATTAAAGCTTTTTTTCGTTTTAAATTAAATGTGAGGGAACACAGTGTTTCGCATTAATAAGTAAGGAACACGTGACGGACGAACGGAAATGGGCGTATCATATACAACCGAGACCGAGACATGGCTGGTTAAGGTCCCTAGCATCCGTGTAACAGCGATCATCAGGATACTTTATTTCATTTCCCACTGGTCATTTACTACTGTCACTAACACCCACATAGGTCTGGGTACATTACGTACTTCTATTCAGAGTTTGACCGTTCCATTTTTTGAAACGTATTTTTATATTTTAAAAAATTCCTACGCCTAACAAATCCTGCTTCTTTGAAAAATTAAAAAAAAAATTTGCGATATTTTTTTTTGATGACCTCTAAAAAGATAAAACACGTGACGTAAATAACACTTCCGCAGCTTTTTTGACTTGAATCTTTCAATTTTTCAATTTTTTTATTTTTTTCGTTTCTTCATTTTTCCGATTTGCAATTTTTCATTTCGGTTTTTTGTTTTTTCTATTTTTGCAAATTTTCCAGAGATGAATAAATAAAATTGTGTTAATATTCGTAATTACTAAATTCTAGAAATAATTAATTATGTTGTCTGCATTGTCGAATTTATTTTCGATATCTAAGTAATTAAACTAGCTCTAGGTATATTACTACCGCAGTCCGCAAATGAATTTGAAAAGTCTGGTGTCAGGTAAAAAAGATATAAATTACATTCAATCTAAAACCACCAGATAATTTAAAGTGGACAACAGTGGGTAGACTTACGTTTAATATCCTGATAGTTATGGTGATATCGTATAGAAACCGTTTTCGTTCTGGAGTAATACACTGGATAAAACAGACATGCTTGACACTCGCCTATCTGAATATAAAGCATGTAACATGAAAATAAACTGTGATATCAGCAGTTGTAACCGCAGACCGCAGTAGTATGGTATTTCAACGACCTGTAACAGAGCAAGGATTATGTTGGTTGAAAGAAATTGACTGGAACTGTGTCACTTCTAGTATACTTACTTTAGTGCACAAGAGGGAACAATCTATAACTAAAGTGGGATTTATAAACTTGATGTTGACGTTGCAGTTCCTGTTGCAGCTACTGTTCCCTCTGATGTTGCTTTGAGAGCTGAGCCCCGCGCACCCACCCGACTTCAATTGTGATGATTTTTTTTATGCGTGGTGAGCTTAACTGCAAAATCCTTACTTCTCTACGAGAAATTAAAAACATGTTTTTGATTAGTATCCCGTTGTTCAAAGACGACGTATATCAAGAAAAAAGGGAAAATATAAGCCCCGCCCACCCGCCCTATCTCAATTGTGATGATTTTTTTCTAATCGTCGAAAGCCAAAAGCGCGGAATTTAATTGCAAATTATTTCTCTAGATACAAGAAATTACCATGTAAGACATGTTTTTGAGTATCGTATTATTCAAAGAATACTAATATACAGGGTTAGTCACGAGAGAATTACTTCTGAAAATTATTTTTACGCAACCCAAAATACGAATACCATGTACCATTTGATACTAACTGAATTTAAAATGAAATGCTTAATCCATGATTGCTTTGAGTTTGACAATCTCATTTTGACAATTGTGGAAAAGGAGGTTACGCGAGTGTCCATGGTGGTACCGCAGCCAGTCGGAAATCTCCTCCGACGCCGCTAATAAATTTGTCAGTGTGCCTCTTGATCTTTTGCAACCGATTAATCATGAGAAAATTATTTCTAAAAATTTCTTTGGTTACAACACAAACTCAAACAAGTAAGTAAATAATTTAGCTACTAATCTGTTGAAAATCTTGGGCATTTTGGGGGGGATGCTACGGCTTTTTTGTAAATGGATGGCCGAAAAAGCCCAGAGGTTGCAGATTTGCACTTCGAAGAGGCTCTAGGTGACGCAGAGATGGTGAATTAACACATGCACATTAGCGGCGAACAACATTGGTAGAGCACTTACGGCTTCAGTATAGCCCAGATTGATCTGACTGTATGTCGTCGATCCAATGGGGCTCTAGAGGCGAGTCAACGATGAAAAAAAAATTTAAAAATTAATTAACGTCAAAGTGACATTGCCAAAGTCAAAGCAATCATGGATTAGGCATTTCATTTTAAATTTATATAATATCAAGTGGTACAGGGTATTAGTATTTTGGGTTGCGTAAAAATAATTTTCAGAAGTAATTCTCTCGTGACTAACCCTGTATATATTACGAAAAAATTAAAGCCAAAGATTAAGCTCCCCCATACCTACCCTCATCTAAATAGTAATGAAGTTTTCATTCGTTAGCAGACCTAGAGGCAGAGTCTAATTGCAAAATCCATATTTACTTACATAAATTTACCATTTTAAACGTGTTTCAAATTTCTAAGAATAAAAAAAATCATCACAGTTGAGATGGAGTGGGTGGGTGGGGTTAATATTTCGCTTTTTTTTCTTAACATACATAGTATTCTTTGAACAACACGATACTCAAAAACATGTTTTTAATTTCTTGTAAAGAAATAAGTATTTTGAAATTAAGCTCTACCCCCTTGGTTCACGGCGAATAAAAAAAATCATCACAATTGAGATAGGGCTTACATTTTGCCTTTTTTGTTTTAATTGCAAAATCCATATTTGCTTGCAAAAATGTACCTTTTTAACCGTGTTCTAAGTTTCTTATTGTGAAAAGATGGCTATGTATATTAAGAAAAAAAAGGCAATATATAAGCCCCGCCCACCCGCCCTATCTTAATTCTAATAATTTTTTTTATTCGTCGTAAACCCAGGGGTGGAGCTTAATTGCAAAATCCTTACCTACTTCTCTATAAGAAATAAAAACATGTTTTTGAACATTGTGTTATTCAAAGAATACTATCTATATTAAGAAAAAACAAGCCAAAAATTAAGCCCCACCGATATCCATCCTAAGCTCAGTTGTGATGAATTTTTCATTCATTGTCAGATCTTTCTTGTTGTGAAAAGATGACTACACACACATATTAAAAAAAAAGGACAAAATGTAAGCCCTGGTAGTTATAATACCTAATCTGTTCTTGGGACGAATAGCAATAAATCTTGTTGATTTAAATGTCGAGAAATATTTTTAACAAAGCATAAGTGCTGACAAAAAGCTACAGTGTAGAAAATGATGGCAGCTATTCAGAATATAAGTGTTTCGGTGAATAGGTGATTAAATGGCTTAATATTAGTGGACTTCATCATCTCTATCAAAATTTGATTTTCGTGGAATTAGTGCTGTCAACCAGATAAATGTCCCCCCTACTTTAGGGGATTTCCTTTCAAGTTGGCGGCACTGCACACTACCGCAATTTGATTGGTTTCAAACCCTACGTCAACGGCAACGTAACGGCGAACGTTAAAATTTGGTCATCTCGAACGTCACACCAACGGCGTGCTAACTTTCAACGGCAACGTCAACGGATGATGTAAACGAGGCATATCTTCGCTGCGTATTTATCTTACAACGGTAACATCAGCGACAAGTTTATAAATCGATTTTAAATATTCTGACTGATCGAGAAAGAAAATAACATTTACTATGCAAAATTTTAGAGTGACGTCATTACATTATTGGTGGGGCAAATTTTGATTACACGATATTTTCATAAATAGTTTGGGAACCACTGCTTTAGATCAATTTTATTCAGTAATTGTGCTTTTACCCACTCATTTAATGTTTATCATTCAAAATTTGATTTATTTTTTAAAAGCTAACCTACACTAACAATTATTATCAGGAAATTAATAATGCAGAGAAAATTAAAGAAATAATATATTTCAAAGCAAAATTACACTTTTCATGTTACATGAAAAATTAATCAAGAAATCACCCAATTTTTACAAAGAACACATTTTTGTGTACTATACAAGTGCGTATACTATTACACATTAAACGAAGCAAATTTTTGACTTCTAAATTTAAATAAATTACAGTTAACAATAAATAATGTAACTACTTACATAAAAAGTTTCTTTATCGAATAACGTCCGGTTTAATTCGTTCTGATATGACACTTAAAACGCAAGGCACATCCATAGACAACCGTAACAGCTTTTGTACAGTCATAATCCAACATCTTAATGTTACAGTTTAAAGCTTCTCAAGCATACAAAAACACAAGCAAAGGTTCTGTAAAGTGTTAAGTACACTTCCAAACTCTTATTGACAACAATTTATAATCCTATCACACACCTCCAACTGGCACATTTTGACAATCCTTGGTCATCGCTTGACCGCGTTTCAAAGATGCGTCCCCGGCGCCGTCAGGGGGTGAGTATTAATACCCGGATTAACCATGTGCATCGCGGTGTTGCCACTTTGCAAGTACATGTAATAGTTGTAGTTCTGCGCACTTTCCGCAGAGGACGTGGGTCCGGGGACTCCCCCAGGCGCCCCGTGGGGGGCCCTGAACGCCGCCGCGTGCACCCCCGCCAAGATGTCCGACACCGAGTGCGAGCTGGGCCAGCAAGAGGCGGCGGTGTGGCGTTGCGGAGGCGGCGTCTGCAGCTTCTGCTGGGGGTACGGATACGTGGGGTAGATGGCGTTGTAGAGCGAGTGCGAGTGGGGCGCGGGGTGCACTAACGAGCCGATTTTGTTGCGGAGGATTCGACTGATGGAGCTCACGGAGGGCACGTTGTACTTGTCGCAGATGCCGTCCGAGAGCAGCCGGTCGCGGATCTCCCAGGCGAAGATCCCCGGGTCCTTCTGCTTGAGGTCCTTGATGTAGGCGACGACTTTGGGGGTGGTGACGCGGGGCTTGGACCCGCCGATGGCGCCGGGGAGGATGGAGCCGGTTTCGTGGTAGCGGGCGAGGATTTTTGAGACGCAGCCGTGGGAGACGCGAAGTTGGCGGGAGATGTCGCAGGGTCGGATGCCTACTTGGGAAAGCTCGACGATGCGGAGGCGGACGGAGTTGGGTAAGGGGCGGCCGTTGACGAAGACACCACCAAGCTGGTTTACTTCACCGTACTGCTGAACTTGGCCTTCTGTAACAAGCAAGAGTTGATGTAGATACAAGTAACGCACTTTAGACACTTTCTTCTATAGAGTGATTTCGAAATGTGGGAATAGCTCACAATAAGATTTATTACACTGTGTAACGTTCACGTTCCTATGACTAGAATGTCTAGAAAAAATTATTTGAAGTTAAATATGAATTATTATACACGTCACTGGTAGTGTTTCTTGACCTACCACAACTACTACTCAATAATGGTACAGAACGGCTAGGATTAAGAACCAAAAAAGCGGCGCACTGACCAGTAACGTGCAAAAACTCGATAAGGGCTGGTCACGAATCAGTTGGTTGTCGTCGTGTGTTTCGTTGACGTTCTGACAATAGTGAATTTTTCCAATTCAGAGCTTGTCGAAACGCCAGGTTGGCCCGCGAATTATAGATCGAACGCTTTCCAAATCGCGCGATTTCATGTGCGCGAACATTTACATCAGTGGTACAGCATCTCCGAGATTATGATACCTTCAAGCTTCAAACTCACGATCATAGCCGTAATAAGACCGAAAGAATGCTGCACGCTGAAGAACAAATTTTGGAACTTGTTGTGAAGAAGAGCCCTACATCAGCACTCGCCGACTTGCAGCTGAAGTTGTAGTTTCAGTCTGTAGTGCATCGTACGTGAAAAGAACAAGGTTTACATCCATACCACGTTCAAAAAGTGCAAGCTTTGGAGTCCACTGATTTCCCACATGGTGTAATTTATACTACGTGCAACTTTTTAAATTGCACTGTGTGTATAAATGAAGCCGGATTCACTCGCAATGCTGTTTTCAACAGCCGCAGCACTCACATTTGGACCGATGAAAATCCTCACGCTCGATTTCAACGACGGTTTTCCATAAATGTGTGGACCGATAGATGACCGCTTAGTTGGACCAGACAGACTAAACGCGGCACAATACTTCGAGTTTTTAAACAAAGGGTTGGAAGAGAAGCTAAATGTGTAAGTGCCTCTAGGTGAACGAGTTCGCATGTGGTACTTGTATGATGGAGCACCACCACATTTTGCTAGACCAGCAACTAAATGGTTAAGAAACCATTTTCCTAACCAGTGGGACGGTAGAAACTGCCCAGTAGCTTAGCCTCCGCGTTTATCCGATCTCAGTCCGTTGGATTTTTGTCTGTGGGGTTGGATGAAACACTTAGTTTATGGAAATCAATAGTGTCCAGAAACTATCGAAGAGCTTCAACAGCGAGTGGAAGTGGTAGTCGCTACAGTTCATGGAACTCCCGGAGTTTTTTTACGTATCCGTGCAAACATGTTACGACTTGCTGAAGCTTGTATTGCTAGTCAAGGACAACATTTTAAGTTGCTTTTATTTTTGTTCTAATAAACAATGTGGATTCGTTGTGATAAAAAGTCGATCACCATGAAGCATTACCAAAAATCGGTCCTTCTCATGACCACCATTTATTTCTACAATTAATAGAATAGTCTTTCGCGTTGACCTTTAACGATGAATGAATACATGAAAGAACGAATGATAACCAGCAAAAAGTTGGTTTTACATTTAATTGAAACTGAAAGTGTTTACATCGTTTTTATTCGAACGTTTTTCCTTCTACTGTTTAAAAGGTGGATCAGTGGCATCGCATCGAGGGTGGTTCATGGGGGTTTTGACCCGTTGGACTTTTAACTAGTTTTTTTTATATTTCCACATTGCTAGGGTACGTAAGGCCGTAGTTACAATTATTGCATATATTTTGAAATCACCCTGTATAGGTATGCGACACTTTGGTTCTACAATAAAACATTGCTAAAAAAGAATGTGTTCTTAAGTCATGCCCAAATTTTGACTCAAAGAAACATGATAGGGATATGGCCACTTTGATACAAAAATTGGTCCATGAAGTGAAACTCTCAAAAAAAGAGCAGGAAAAAGAAGATAGCTGTAAGAATTTTTGTTGGAACGCACCTCCTTATCCTGTTTTCTGAAGGGTGGAAAACATAAAAATGTATTCCAGTGTAGGTATATACTAAATGTGGTGATAAATTTAATATACCTACCTATGTAATTGTGGACCCATCTGAACTGTCTTTTTCTAAGGTTTTTAAATCATCCTTAGCTTCTAATTTGTATGGTCAATATGTCGTTGAAAAACGGCATGGGTTTATGAGGCACAAATTTGTGACGAATCTTTGTGACTTTACACAACTCGTTTTCAATCAACTTGAAAAAGAGAAACAGGTGGATATAGTTTATACGGATATAGGAAAAGCCTTTGACACGGTAGACCATAAAATGTTCATCAATAATAAAGTCGTATCCTTTGGTTTATGTAACAATTTAATTAGGTAATTGATTTTAATCGGATGTAGATTTTAATATGTCGAACTTTCAGGTTGTTACTGCATTTTTTAATGACGGTTTTAATATTTTAGATTGTCATGTTCTCGTGCATACGGTTGATCTAAAATGTTTAATTCACCAGGTAGATTACAAATAAATTTAAACAAATTTAAATACTCTGTTTAAGCAATAATGTAAAATTTAACTACACTGACGGACAAAAAAAAAAAGGCCAGTCTGAAATATTTCAAAAAACCACTTTAAAAATTACTCCTATATTTTAATTATTAGTGATTTTATTTATTTGTCTCTTTTTTTAAATAATTTTTATAATCTGTGTCAATGAATGGTTCTCTGAATAAAATAACAATCAGTAGATAAATGAATAATTTTTAAAGCAATTTTGCCGGTCAGTATTTTTTGCTAGAAAGTTCAATAATAACTATGTGACGGGTGTCTAATTAATAAAGACGGGCAAAATTACTTGTAGCGCTCGAAAAGTGCTCCCACCACTCATTCTCATTGCCAGTCCAGGGTCGCGCGACCGAACATGCAGCGATGGGCAAAGCGAAACAATAACATCGCGCGCTACTGAAGGAAAGTGGTGGGAGTCGCATGCACTAACTTTGGCTGTCTCTACTCTCTACTAATTAAAAACTTGATCAAGAGAGCTGCCTCCTGTTATAAGATTTTTTGTACTTGCATCTGTTCGAAATAGTTATTTCTATGTCAAACTCAGTTTAAAGGTTATTAATTCACAACAGTCGATGTTACAAGCGGATGACAGCTTTCAAATTTCGTACGGAAAAAAACAAAAACTGGTGACATAACACTCTTAACCTGATATTTATTTAGACACCCGATATACGTAATGTCGGATTTTACCGAGAGAACAATCAAAAACAGCCATGGATTTTGAAAGTTTGCCTTTGACCGTTAGGTTTATAAAACATGTCATTATAAATTTTGTGAGTGTTGAATGTTTATTAACGTTGTATAATTGTTTTGTAAGATTAAAGTTGGAACATGCCAGTGTACTGTGGAATTCGTACACCTAGGAAGAAAATTTTGTTTCCATTTTACCTTTTGTAAATAATAGAAACTTTAATTTAGAACCTATTTATGTAAAAAGGAAAGCTGCTTGTGTCTTCTTTTTATTAAATTAATGCGTGGTGATATAACTAGGGTTGGTTCATGTAGGTAACTTCCATGTGATACTATATGGATCCCTTCATTAGAAATACAAATATTTTTGTTAGTAGTGTAAAAATATGAGTCGGTAGGTTATTTTTTCGAAACTGTAAGGACATCCAAAGAACATACTGCGAAAAAATTTCAGAAGAGTAGGTAACTGCTAAACGAAACACACGAAACTAAGAAAAATTTTATCACCCTTACTTCTGCGAAAAAATCAAAAATGTCCTGGTTTTGAAGAATAGGTTACAGGTCGTTGCAGGTATCGTCGTATTAAATGATTTTGACTTCAAAGGTTCGATAAAAAACTTGATGATAAAATTTTGAAAAGTCGATCGTACTTAGTTGAAGTATTCAGAATAACACACTTCTTTACACATAAATACATTCCTGCTTTTTATAGCGGTTCATATGAGACGTACCTAACACCTAACACTCTCATAGGTATATCAATGTTCACTTTTATCTTGTGCGTTTTTAATACTTTTCTAAAATTTGTTTTCCCTGTTTCATCCCTAGATTTAAACACCATATATCATCACATTTTACATTCTCAATTTTCAAAAAGCAACATCCCACTCAAACATTCTTTTATATACTGCCGACAGTCCTACTGCTCTGTCCATTTTTTACGTAGGTATGTGTTTTAGTTTCCCCATTAACCCCAGACAGTCTGTTTTACCAGCTCATTCTCACTTACAATCACGATTACAATGGTCTAAATAAAAAGAAATCAATATCGGATCACATGTGAATTTTGGTCCGAAAAATGTTTACTATAAGCTGGTGAAAAAGACGACACTTTAATCATTTTGTGAGTTTTAGATGTCAGCCTCGTTTTTTCGAATTTAATAGACAAAACAACAATAACATTTCAGAATCTAACTTTACCTTATAACACGGTGATTGGAAACCGTTCTTAAAGGCCCACTGGAACAATAGAAAATTTTCATGTTTTTATGCTGTGATAAATAACCAAAAATTTTTGAATTTTTTGTTAAGTTATCTTATTAAATTTTTGAACGTGTTTAATAAAAAAAGTAAACTTATTTATATAAAATGGCGCACACATTTCCTAACAAATACTATAATCCGTGTCTCAGATTTTGTGTAAAAGATATCTTTACCGAAAAAAAGGAGTCGAAAAAGGTTGTGGTAGTTATGTCGAATAATTCAAATTTTGAAAAGATCGGATACCTACCAAATATTTCAACACGTCATAAACGAGTATGATGTCTTGTAAGATATATGCGATTTAATAGAATAATAATTAAATAGGTACAGTAAAATTTAACGATTAACGAATCGATTTTAAAAGGTGGTATAATTACTGCCAACACCAAAATGTTAGGACTGTGCTTATTGTCTTTATTTTAAATGTACAAGTTTTATTTCTACACAGAAAAAAGTTTACTTGTAAATTTACTGTGAAAATCACAGGTAATTTGTAACCCGAGATAATAAGGGTAATATTCCAACGAAATGT